TGCCGGCCTCAGTTTGAATTTGCGGTGTCCTACCTGGACAGCACTCCAGACTTGTCTGGCTCCAAGTGCAAGAAGCAAACTTAGAAATGTCAAAGCAGAAATGGTGCAAGACTGGGCAGGTTGCTTTGCTGTGAGTTGGAACCAATGTAACACCACCTACTACCTCCAAGCCTTTGGATGTCTGCCCTAGGCTAGTAGACTTTTTGGTGGGTACAGCGTAGCTGGAGCTACTCACTCTCTGTGATCTGGGGTCAGTCCCTTGCCCTGTCTAGGGTCAGATTCTATGGTGTCTCAGGTCCTTCTTCCACTGGGCTGGCAGGATTTTAGACTTCAGCGCCTTACCCTACCACAAAGCAGGTATTCCAGAGAGGTGGCCCTGAAAGTAATTTGGAGCCTTCCCCTCAGCCAGCTTCCCTTCCTTTCCAGGTGCCCTGGTTGCTGAATATGGAAGATGCTGCTTCAAGTACTTGGGAGAGCTGTCAGTGGTAGTGTAAGGGAGTGAGTTTTCTGTCACTGGAGGTGTGTAAGTGGGTGCTAGAATATAAGCACAGGAGAAGGAGGTTGGATTCTCTACAGTCCCTTCCAACCCTGGAGTCTGGGATGATATGGATGTGACTTGGACAGCAGGAAAGGCAAGGCAGGGTGGGGGCTGGGTGAGGGCTCCCCGACAGCACAAGGGCCTCAATGAGCCAGACTGGGGTGGAGCTGGATTGTGGCTCTTTCCTTTGGCATGTAAGCCCCTACCTTAAAGGAACTCATAGCCAATCAAAAGGGTGCAGTGGCTTGAGAAGTGCTGGGAGAGACGTGTTGGGGAGTCTAGGAGTGGGGTCTAGTGGGACTGCATGGGGAAGGCGAATGTCTGCTAAGAGCTGGGATGGAAGAGCAGAGCATGAGTTATCCAGGCCATGAAGGACAGGCAAGGGCATCCCACACAAGGCAGCCACTCGGGGGGTTAGAAACAGTTGTTCTGGCTATGGGATTATAATACTGCTGGAATGAAACTGGGGGTGTTGGGGTGTAAGCGGTGAGCACCAGGCCGGAGGGGCAGCAGGGGCCAGGTCATGCGCTTTCTTGAGTGTTAAGCCAGGGAGTTTGAACTTGATCCTGAGGGCAACAGGGAATCAGCAAAGCTTTTGGGCAGAGGAGGGAGGCGAGCAGATCAGTGTATTAAGAGAGCTGGCTCTGTTTTGAGTGGAGATGGATGGCTTGGCAGAAAAGGGAGACCGAAGAGGCAGTTTCTGGGAGCAGGGAAAGAAAAAAAAAGGGTGAAGAAGGGTCAGTCAGGACCACGGGGCTGGGGAAATATTTGTTCCTGCTTCATCACGGATTTTATTTTGTTCCCTAGCTCTGGTAGCGTAGTGGTTACGAATCGGGCTGCGAACCTTAAGGTCAGCGGTTCGAAACTACCAGCTGCACCGCGGGAGAAAGATGAGGCTTTCTACTCCCGTAAAGATGTACACCCTTGGAAACCCTTTACAGGGTCGCTATGGGTCGGAACCGACTCGATGGCACTTAACAACAACAACAACAACAATTAGATACCCGACACCTAAAACAGTAATTGGTACCTATAATGGTTGTTAGATGCTATTGAGTTGAATTGGACTCATAGTGGCCTGATACATAACAGAATGAAACGCTCTCCGGTCCTGTACCATCCTTACTCATTGCCATCCAATTGATTCCAACTCACAGCAAGCCTGGACAAGAATCGCCCCTTGATTTCTCCTAGTGGTGTGAACTGCCAGCCTTTTGGTTAGGAGCCAGGTGCTTCACCACTGTGCCACCAACGGTCCTTAGCCTCACAACAGTAGTAGGTATCTGTGTCCACTGTTGTAGCCACTGTATCAGTACTTTCCAACCTGAGGAGGCTCATCTTCCAGTACTATATTGGATGTTGTTGTTGTTGTGATGAAGTGCCGTTGAGTTGGTTCTGACCCATAGCGACCCTATATAGGGTTTCCAAGGAGCAGCTGGTGAGCTTGAACCACCAACCTTGCAGTTCAAACAGCTTTGCAGTCTGGCGCATTAACCCACAGCGCCACGCCAGGACTGCACTATATTGGATAAAGGTCTGTTATAACTCACAAGGCTTGCACTGGCTAATTTTCTTCGAAAGCAGATTTCTAGGTCCTTCTTAGTCTGCTTTATTGGAAGCTCTGCTAAAATACCAGCAACATAGCTTCTAGCAACACAATTACACACTCAGAGTCAGACCTCCTTAAGGCAGATTTAGTCAATGAATGTTTTTGAGTGAGGTTAAGTGAAGAGGATGGAATCCTGGTGTTGGTCTGCGGGTTAATGCACTGGATTGCAAGGTCGGTTTGAACCACAAGGTTGGTGGTTAAAGTTCACCAGCTGCTCCTTGGAAACCCTATACAGGGTGGCTAGGAGTCTGAACCGATTCAGCACTTAACAACAACAAAGTGAAGAGAGATCAAGCATCAGGTGGAAGGTGGCGGGAGAGCTCCAAGGCTGTTTGAATCCCTTGGATGGAAGAGTCACTGTTCAGAGAGGAAGCACAGAGAAGCAGGAATGGGATGGGGCTGCAGGTGAGCACAGGGATGTTCATTATTGCATTGTTGATAAACAACTAAGGCCAACAAAGAACTAGACATCCAGTCACAGGGGACACTGATGGAACATCTGGCCCTGCAGCTGTGGAATGAATGGGTGGCTGGTTTACCTTGGCTTGGAAGGATGTTCCAGATGTGTTGTTAATTGACAAAGGCAAGTTACAGGCTGCCATATGTTGTCAGAGGGCAAGCAGAGAGGCCTGGGTGGGTGGGGGCAGGGACAGAGGGAGGAGTAGTTTAGAACAGGTGACAGTTGGAGGCAGGGGCAGGGATGACATCAGGGGGACCACAGCTGTGCTTGGGTGACAGGTGCAAGAGAAGCCTGGAGGGAGATATCATTCAGGGCACCCCCAGCAGACTCAGCTGAGCCTCCCGGCCCGGCCCCTGAGGTCATCTCTTGTCATTTAACCCGATGAAAATGCTCTGATTCTAAATTCCAGGATTCTCAGAATATGCCAATACCACTGAGCACCCTGGTAGCCTTCTCTTTCTTTCCTGGGTGGCACATTATTGGCACATAGTCCAACAGGTTGGAGGCGCTGCTCCTATCCCTGCCTGACATTCCCCAGGCTTTTTATCACTCCACTTCAGCTCGCTGTCTCTTTTAGGAACCCAGGGGTCCTACTACCTCTTCTTAGGAGAGCCTGGGAGTGAAAACAGCTTGCCAGGGAGGGTTCCCATCAGCTGTGAGGCAGGAAGGGGTGGGGTGGCAGTAGCCCACGTACCCCAATCTCTGTCCCCAAGGTGCTGCTGCCTCAGCACAAAGTGTCCATCTGGCTGGGGAGTCAGGTTACTGCGTAAGGGGACCCAGGGTTCCCCTCCTCCTGACCTTGTGGCCTTTTCAGCAGACTCAGGGCCCCTGATGGGCGGAGTAGAAAGAGTGGGGGTGGGAGCAAAGATCTTATATTCTGACAGTACATATATGATTTGGGCCTCTCTCTTCCCCTTTTTGGAGCCTCAGTTTCCTCATCTGTCAATTAGGGTAAGGACCCCATGCAATCGAGAGCAGAGGGTGGGGAATGATCTGTGATGGTTCTCCCTCAACATTCCCAGATTCAGTACTTGTCTGGTCACAAGCAAAATGGGGGCCTGGGGAGTAAAAGATTATTCTTTCTGAATCTCCAAACTCGGGGATTTTGCCCAGAACATTTTTCCCAACAGCAAAGGCAGCTGGCTCAGGAGTATGAACCCTGGGGACAGAGTGGGGATGCCAGAACTCTTCATGTCACTCTAGACTCCCCAGGACTCCCAGCTTTTTCTTCCAGCTCTGGGAGACTGACTACTAAGGGGCTGGGGGGCAATCTTCCCCTGACTTGCTGGGATGCTGCAGACAAACTACTCGGCCGGCCTCTCAAGCCTCAGTTTTGCCATCAGGAAATGGGTGAGCACTCACTTTCCGCTGCTGCTTCTCCCAGGCCGGGTCCAGCAGCAGGTCGCGGTCCCAGTCCTCCTCTTGCTCCATGTACTCGCCGTCCCCACCGCCCAAGAAGGGCCCCTCCCCGGCCCCTAGGCCCTCGGGCTGCATAACCATCATCTTCGCGCTGGGACCTCCTGGCTTCGCTCCGCTCCGCGCACTCCCCAACGCTGGGGCCTCGTTAAGTAGGGCCCGGCCCAGCCCCGGATCGTGTTCGCGCTAAATATGGGGGAGGAGGGAGGGGCCGGTTGGGGGCGAGGGCGCTCGGGTCGGGACCAGGCCTGAAGCTACCCTGAGGTTTCGAAATTGGAGTCGCTGGGTGGGTCTTGGTGGATCTGGGTCGCATCACGGCTTGGTCGCTTGGGCGCTGTGTGACCTCGGGAAAGCCACGGTCCCTCTCTGAACCTAAATTTCCTCATCTGTACGTGGAGGTGACGACAATCTAGTGGCTGCAGACCCTCACGAGATGTCCTTGGGGGCCTCCTCCCGACCCTCTTCCAGCGTCGCGCGGGTGGGAAACAGGGCGCCCTCTCCCCATTAGAGAGTCAGAAACACGGAGCTGTTTTGAGTGTTTTCTGGGGTGATGGAGGGAGACACCTGAGCATGGGGAGGGGCTCTGAGCCAGCTGGTTGCGGACAAAGTAGGGCTATTAATATCGGGGCGGCTGCCGAGTGCAAGGGAATGTGCTGAGCCTGGAAACCCCGAGGCCACTGCGGCTGCAATTCAATCCCGTAGCCTTGCTGGCTGGACCGACAGTGGGTGGGGCTTCTCTATGTGGGGCGGGGCCTCCACCTGCGGGAGGGGGCCATGACGTAAAGCCCTACCAGCTCTAGCGCCAACAAGAGTCCCAGAGTCTCCTGGCGCATTCAGTCATCCAATCACATCTCCGCATCTGTTGGCGGCTCCCTTAAGAACTCCTATTGGTCTTGGTAGCCGTCCGTTGGCCGCTATCCCCGCCTGAACACGGAAGCTGCCGGTTACAGGGAGCATTCGGCGAGTAGGCCCAGGTCATGGGGCAGCTGTGGGCGGCGGGGAGCGCGAAAGGGGCGCCAGCGCGGCTACCTCTGGTGTTCACGGCGCTATGGGCCGCAGCCGTAAGCTTGGAGCTGGGCTACGTGCTGGTGATGGGCCCCGGGCCGCCCCCACTGGGACCATTGGCCCGGGCCTTGCAACTCGCGTTGGCCGTCTTCCAGCTGCTCAACCTGCTGGGCAACGTGGGGCTCTTCCTGCGCTCGGATCCCAGCATCCGGGGCGTGATGTTGGCCGGCCGCGGGCTGGGCCAGGGCTGGGCGTGAGTGGGGCGCGGGGTCCGGCGGGGAGAAGCGGGCGCCTGGGATAGGGGGAGGGGCCCCGACCTGCTATGTTAGAACCAGATTACGTTAGGATCCTGATGTTAGGGCTAGAGAAAGAACCTTAGACTCTGGGGTTCTAGGTAGATCTAGAAGGACATGCACAAATATTTATTGAGCACTCTTCTAGGCCCTGAGGAGTCAGTAAAACAGATTCTTAATCAAGCTGATTTATTAGGGGGAAGGGAAGTAATACACTATGTTGTTAAGTGCAGTAGAGGCATAATAAATACGTAAATTATGTAGAATGTTTAGATGGTAGTGTTTTGGAAACAGGGAAGAGTAAAGGAGGTACACGTTGCAGTTTAAAAATAGGGTGGTCAAGACCAGCTTCAATGAGAGAGTGGTAATTGGACAGAGGTTTGAAGGGGGATGGGAAGTTGGCCATATGGGATTCTGGAGGAAGAATGATCCAGGCAGAGAGAATAGAAATGAAAGAAGCTCTGAGGCACTTGAGGCGAGAGACCTAAGGAGTGGGGTCAGAGCTTGTAGGAACTAGTAAGATGTTGAAAGTTTTTGCTTTTTACTGAGACAGAAACAGTAAAAACTTGAGCAGAGGAAGGACATGACTTAGGTTTTAAAAGCATCAGCCTGGCTGCTGGGTTGAGAAAGATTAGGAGGGGAACAATTCATGGGGGCTTAACCCAGGTGAGATGTTTGCGCCTGGATGTTAAGAGGCCAGGACCAGGAATGCTAGAGCTGGAAGGGGCCTGGGAAGTTTTTGCTTTCCATCTGCATTTGCTGTACAGAATCTGGGGCACAATGCATACACCTGGTCCTCAAGGACAGGCTCAGAGGTTTTCTTGGGTATAACATGGGGTACTCAGTGCTGCTGGGGACACTAACTGACCCTGTGGTTCCCTCTCTGCAGTTACTGCTACCAGTGCCAGAGCCAGGTACCACCGCGCAGTGGGCACTGTTCTGCCTGCCACGTCTGCATCCTGCGCCGGGACCACCACTGCCGCCTTCTGGGCTGCTGTGTAGGCTTCCGCAACTACAGGCCCTTCCTGTGCCTACTGCTTCACGCTGCTGGTGTCCTGTTGCACGTGTCGGTGCTGCTGGGCCCTGCACTCTCAGCGCTGCTTCGAGCCCACACCCCTCTCCATGCCGCCACACTCCTCCTCCTTCCCTGGCTTATGCTTCTCACAGGTGAGGAGCTTGGGTGGCCATTGCAGGGAGGCTGGGGAGAATTTTGATGGGATATGGGGTTTCCAGCTGGTTCTTCTGGCACTGCCCTGGGAGTGGGTACCAGTTCCAGACTCCTTAGTGGGGGATTTGGGCAGGGGTGCTCAACTGGTGCCTCAACCCAGAATCTGGCTGGCAGAACCCAGGTGGTGTTGACTGAGTTCTCTGGACAAAGGCTCAGCATTTAGGCAGGAAGCAGTACAGGGCATTTGATGGAGATTATGGGAATTAAGGCTAGGATGGTAGGTTAGGACTAGTGGAGGACCTTGACTGTTGGTATGAGGAAATGACCCTTATTTGAATGGGTGATGGGGAGCCAGTGAAGGTTATAGGTAGAAGAAAGTCCTGTTATCAGAAGTTGTAAGGAAAATGCAGTGTGAAGCGAGGCTGACTGAGAGGTTGTGGTCTGGTCAGCCCCACTCAAGGTAAAAGCCTCACTGGGAGATCATGAGGGACCAGCTTGGTAAAGTCAGTGAAAAAGAGAAAGACACTTAATGAGATGGATTGATACAGGGGCTGTGGTAACGGGCTTAGCTATAGCGGTGATTGTGAGGATGACGCTGGATCACGTTCTGTTGTGTGTAGGGTTGCTATGAGTCGGATGCGACTCTGGGGGGACCTAACAACAACAGTTGTTACATGTTCTGTTCTTTCCCCCAGAATGCTTTGGGCTTTCTTTTCCATGATTTCCTCTCCCCTAAACTTATTCTTCAGTTACTAAGCTCCCCAACTACTCTTGAGTTGTCCCTGGAATTCTTCATCCTCTTCAAGTCCATCTTGGTCGAGGCCCCCCCAATTCCCTGTAGCCCAGGGGAAGCCTGTGGAGGGGGCTTACCCCCCGGGGTTGGTCTGGGTTCACTCTTACTTCCTGGCCAGCTATCTCTTCTAACTTTTTCACAGCTCCCTATCTCTGACATGCAAGCTCCTAGCCATACCTCTTCCACTCCAGCGTGAGGTGCTCATCCTCTGCCTCCTACTCCTGCCCCTACCCCTGCAGAATTAGGCTTCAGCTCCCGGCTCTGTGCCCTGGGCCCTCCTGAGATCTTGGTGTCTTTCAGAATCTGTAAATGGCCCCAATAGAAGTCGGTTTCCCTCACTCTTTAAGACATCTTCAAAATGTGTTCTTTCCCCCATAGGCTCTTACTCTCCTTTTTAAATTAAGGTCAAATTCACAAAACAGACATCATTATAATCATTTTAAAGTATGCAATTCAGTGAGTCACATTTTTGTGCCACTGTCCAAAAGCCAGTCGCCTCAGAGTCCACTCCGACTCACAGAGACCTCCGTAGGACTTTTGATGGCTGCTTTCTTGGTAATTCCAGGCTTTTGTCACCATTTCCAAAAGAAACCCTGTGCTCATTGAATTCTGGTGTGGCACTGTGGGTTAATGTGCTGGACTGAAAAGTCAGTTTGAACCACAAGGTTTGTGGTTCAAGCTCACCAGCTGCTTCTTAGAAACCCTGTCCAGGGTTGCTATGGGTCAGAACCGACTTGACAGCACTTAACAACAACTCACTGAGCAGTCACTCATTCCATGCGTCCAGCAGGTCTGTCCACACTTTCCCGACAGCACCTGCTCACTCTGTGTCACATTTTTTTGTTAATTCCTCCAATTTTTCATACATTTTCATCATGTTTGTTCATGTCATATTTTGTGTAAACATAACTTTATTATTATGTAGAGGGAAGTGGCAAAGAACAAGGCACCGGGAATTGATGGAATAAGAATTGAAATCTTTCAGGAAAGTGAGGCAGCACAGGAGGCACTCACTCATCTCTGCCAGGAAATTTGGAAGACAACTGTCTGGCCGACTGATTGGAAGAGA